GAAATGCGTCGAAACAAAATTATAAAGCTCTGCTGAGTGGCGACATTAATGGTACGTAATTGATTAACGTTTCATTCAAAGCTGTCTTTGCAAAGGGATTCGCAGCCCGGTTTCGAGCACCATTTTAGAGCAATTTCCAAGAAGGAGGCAGTTTAAACCTGACGGCCTGTGGAGTTATCTATTTATAGTGCTCTGATGATGCACGGAGGATGACATCTGAAGCTAGTGCGTGAATAATTCATACCGACTTGTACACTACCGATTTTCACCCCGGTTAGTCTTATATTGGAGGGTGTTGCTCTTGGGTAAAGAAACAAAGAAGGATCTACGCTCCTCATTCGTTTTAATCAATACAAGAAAATTGCCCAATTTGAATCACCTTAAAACAGTTTTGTAACTCTATAGAGATGATTTTTGCTAGTTTAATTTCCACAACAACTAATGTGATACATTTGAAGTAATTCAAGTGGAGTCTCCGTACATTCAGCGTTTAATGTATTTCATCGAGTCAAAATTAAAGCAAGGAAGATTTCAGGCAACCCTTTCGCTTTCACCCTTTTCCTTCCTTCTTTAACTTCTACATTATCCTCCTTAAGTGGATCTTTACAATATATTTCCATGTATTTAACTTTAATTAATTCTTATTCAATTTAATTCCAGCAAATCAAGGAGGATTTGAACAGACCTATTCTCTCCTACTGCAATTTCCACAACAGCCGAAACCTATCAGTAGTTGTAATAGGGTACAATCTAGAGGGCATGACGCAGCCTTTTGAGGTAAATATAAAAAGCATTTATTCTGAATTACTTTTTTTTTTACTTAAGAACTAAATAATTTGAATTAAAATTATTGAGCAGGATTTCGATTAATTTCAATTTCCATATATGAACGTCATTTAAACTTCAAAATAACAATTTCAAGTGATTAAGCTTACACGATCTGAATAGTTGAGAAAGATGGTCTCACACTGGAAAAAATGGAAATACAAATAAAATTTTCTTTAGTTTAGTATTTTGTGACAATAACAGATATAATCTTGGTGCGTTCGAAAATCACGTTTTCTGTCTCCAATCTCAATTCGTTATCGATGTCTCGCTTAATGGGTTTAGAGATTCCGAGTGCTTTTATTTATATCAATAACCCAGATATTTCCTCCTTCAGCTTCGCTACTTGGATTCCGACGGTAGCCCACGGAAGAGTGACATCGGCGGCTATTACTTCTGGGTGAACTACGGTGTGGAGCGCCACCTGGTGCCATCTCTGCAATATATTATGTTATGGGACGGGCTGCCGCTACGAGACATGGCGGCGCGTGGTTATATTTACGTCATTCCTTACGGAGCCTATCATGGCTGCATCTTTGAATATGATTTTAACGTCTAAAAGGGACACGTCCAGAAATTCTTTGAGAATGATCTCTTTACATACGATATTGCTTGTAACACTGTATAAAATTATAGTTGGGATATGATTATAAAGCACAGTGTGGAGAAAAAATTAAGAAATTTATTTGCACCGCTTGCTCAAGTCTTTTGGAGTGAAATTATTATATAAACTTTAAACTAACAATGCCAAATCAAGTACGTTTTTCACTAAATACGAATTGTTTCGCACTTTATCTGGACTCTTGTTAGCTTAAATTTATTTTCGTTTCTTTTGTGTTTGCGTTGATTTCTTACGTTTTCCGCTAACCTGGAAGGTATCGTTTCATATTTCCCGACAAAATGGTATCTGAGCAGACGTTTCTCCTCTTTAAATATAAATAGGTCAAATTTACAACCCAAACTTTAAGAATGGTAAATGCTATTTTAATCATTTTTCTTGGCTGTCCAAATAACGAATTTGGTTCAACCTTTGGGACCATGTGCTCTTTCAAGTCGTTTAACAAACTAATAACTAGTAGTAATTTAATTGTGTTACAGGGAATCCACGCATGTTTTAGGAGTAACTTAAATTATGTCACAATATATTGAGAAAATCCAAGAAAGTGGAAAGTTGGCTGTAACCGAGCATTTTCATGAAAGACCAGAATCCAAATACCACATGCAGTTGCTCCCTATTCTTGCAAATCTTGGGAACAAACCACGCTGGCACTTTTAAATACCATTCTAAAATTCATAGACCTCATTTTGAGACTGCACAAACTGAAGCACCAATGAACTCCACATCAGTTAAATCTGTAGTCTTTTGCACGATTTCCCAAACCACCACAATAAATGGGTACATTCTGTGATAATGTAGACAATTTACTAAGTCATAAATATACAAGGTGCGTGGACTGTATATACATAATATTTTTTTATAAATGAAGCTATTCAAAATCAAATTTACCATTTGGGTGGAATGTTCTCAAGACATTATAATGACATTCATTAATTCAAACAAATTCACTGCATCAAGCAACTGCAGTCCTAAGAAAAACGTGGAACTTTGATGAAATGGGTTTTTCATTGCCTCTCTTGTAATGACGGCAAAAAGGGAAATCGTTTCTAAAGGGAGGAAGCATAAGGCCCCTACCTAATAGAACCTGTGGCAGAACTTGCTCATTTTTAAAATGTCAGAAAGAAGCAGATTTACCATAGGTGAAAATTTTGTCTCATTAGAAAGGATTTTTTTGCCAAATTACCATGAAACACGTCTTCTAGATAAAGATATAAATTGATTCAATCCTCAATTATTACACACAACATAAAGTCAATTCTTAAACTATATTACAAGCCAGCTCCAAAATATATTACAAGGTACTTTGCCAGGCTTTTAAATGTTTCCCAAGACATATAATCTATATGTGACACAAGACATTTAGTCAGCTTTTAAATGTATTCACGTGATACAGGCATTTTCACCCGAAGATAAACATAGATCCATTTTCCATGTTTGTTTCATGAGAAAATATCTCAGGCAAAGATGGCTCTTTGTTCATTTTATATACACTTGTCAAGTAGTTCTTTTGTTGTTAAGGGTTTGTGTATTTTACACCAGGTTTTGGATGATGAGTTTTCTTTTGGTGTCATGTTGGAATCTGTTATGTCGGAAAATATCACTGTCGTAGAACGCCGATAGAGTGTGAATGTTGATCTGTCGAGCCTGAAAATAAAAAGAAATTTACTGTTGAAACAGGTTTTTTAAATATGAAGAAATGGGAGGGGGCTTGTCACAAGCTGTGCAATCTTTTAAGACAACTTGCTCTCACTCTAAAAATTTTTAAGTTTTGAAAAAAAAATGGGAAATGGTTTTTTTAATCTTTGTCTACAAAATGTTATATGATCTTATTAAAAACTGACAAATTGTTTATGCAGAGCATTTGTAAATCAGTTTGGTAGGAAAAAAATAAATAAAATTGCATACTTTGTCTGCTAAATCTTTCTCTGAGATCTCAATGTAATCCTGGTCAGTGGTGCCATATCTGTTTCTCTGGAAGGCCATCTGGTCCTGGGCAAGCTGCTTCAAGATGAACAATAGGAGTTCATTGTTGTCACGCTTGAATGACAGATACCGGGAAAATGTCTGAAAACAATGGTAAATTAATAATTTATTTATTAATTATTATTATTAACATCCAGCAAAAATGAGATTTCTGTACAAAATTTGAGCCAGTTGTCTTCCTCACTAGGACTGTGGTTTGTCCATTGATGACTTGAACCAGCCAGAGATTGACCATTTCAGGGTTGAAGGGTCAACAGGTGTGCACAGGTGTTATGCAGAAAAGCTAGTTGCAGTCAAAATCTGTATTTATCATGATGTGATCTAAGGGGCAATCGGGGACATTGGTATGATCCATCCCACATGTCTGAGAACCATGAAATGGTGAATTGAACAAGTTGTGACTCCACACTTTTTACCATTGTGTCATGTGAAACATTGTTATGTGAACAAAGTCACTGAGAACTCTACCTTTCTCATACTCCTCATGATGCTGAACTTCTGTGTGTTGATAAAGCTCTCCAGCATTATCCTGATGGCCATGTTGACATCGTCCTCATTCACGTAATCTCGCAGGTGCATGCGTGCATGAGCTTCTGCCATTCTGATCATGGATTCTATGTGACGGACAGTGATTGGAATACTCCCTGTGGCCTGTAAAGTAGGAAGAGATTCTTTTTTTTTAAACATGCATTTTATTCCAGAATAACAAAAAGTCCAAACTTGCAATCAAAGCCAAATTTTTAACCATTTATTTCAGATTGTCAAGCTTTTCACTACAAAGTTCATCATCCTTGTTTACAAAACAGCAATATGTTAT